GCCTCGATTTAGAAATTTCATGCTAATAGCAAATTGTCGTAGTGTTAGAATATCAAATTCAAATTCAATTAATTCAACTATTAGCATGAAATTTCTAAATCGAGGCAGTTGTCGAAGGTGCTAATTTTTGCCGACTTCACTTTCAAGTTCAACGACTGAAAAATCCACAAAAACTCTTCCTCAACCGAAGCTGTTTTGATATTCTAATACTACGAGAAGTTTGCTATTAAACGATATTAAGCTTGCTTGCAAAACAGTTCACTTTTGGAACAAATTTTTCAATTGAAAAAAACGGCCATTACTTATCGGCCAACCTAATAGATCTTCACAGCCCCTTGCTCTTCTAACGCTTCCCAAACTTTCACTGGCTCTACCGAGTCAAACGCTTTCTTGTAGTCGACGAATGTGAGTACAAGAGGCATGCGGTGCTCTCGAGCTGCTTCTATTAGACGCCGGCAGGTTGCGATGTGGTCCAACGTGCTGAAATTTCGACGGAATCCTGCCTGTTCCACCGGCTGTGCTTCTTCTAGCGCCCTTCGTATGCGCGCCAAAATACAACGAGTGAACACTTTGTAAAATATTGGAAGAAGCGTGATTGGCCGGTAATTCGCCAGGTCTTCCTTGTCGCCTTTCTTAAACAACAGCACGGTTGACGACTGCTTCCAAGCCGTTGGCACTGCACTTTCATCCAGGTAGCGCGTATATCTTTTGGCAAGGGCTTGATAAAGTGGAAGTCCACAAGCCTGGAGTAGTTCCGCTGTAATACCGTCCTTGCCGGGTGCTTTACCTTGTGGCATCGTTTGAACCGCATGACGTACCTCCGATGTGAGGAAAGGCAATGCTGAACTTCGATTTTGCGATGATTTTTCACGCCTTTCAGTGAGGTCTGATTTGAAGAGGGTGGTGTAGAACGTCGTCAGAATCCGCTCCATATCTGTTACGCGCAGCGAGACCCATCTTCGGCTTTGAGGCACTGGATCATCAAGCGATGCTCTGCTAAATTTCTCCTAGCTCTCTTAAGGCTTCTCTTTTCTCCGCTTCGCCTAGAAGCCTTGACCTGGTGAAGCTCGCGTGGTCTTCGGCGATTCGCCGTCTGCATAACCTGGATAGCAGCGTGTACTCTAAGTGATTTCCTTGGCGATCGATATTCCTTCGTTTTTCGAGCAGCGCAGAAGACGATATGCGACGAGTGAATGTGATTCGGGGCCACTTCACGACAGCGTTCTGCAAGCATTTTCACTGTTTCGACGAGTCGTTGGTAATCTTCATCGATATCGTCCGCCATTTCGAATGATTCTGCGCTCGCCAATCCTGCTGCTAATTCCGCATTCAACACTGTCCGGGGCATGCTTGTCTTGAGCGCACGCGTATCGTTCGTATCAGGCCTCGATCAAAGTGGAACCGTGCTCGTAGAAGGCGATGGTCGCTTCCTGTGTTGAAGGAGGGAACAACGGCGACATCAGTTGCAGCTCTTCGATTGCACAGTATGTGGTCGATTTCATGAAAGTGCTGCCCGTTCGGTGACACGTGAGTCCATCTTTTGGAAGGCCGCTTTGAGAAACTGACTGTTGCCATGAAAGAGATGGTGCGATTCGCAAAAGTTTGCCAACCTTTCTCCTGCGTCGTTGCGCTGCTCAGCAGAGTGGGGACCGATAATTCACCGTCCTTTCGCGATCCGACTCGGGCGTTGAAATCGCCCATCACTATGACATAGCCTTTCTGGCTGTGTAGGAGCTCTTCGAGTTCTTCTTCCTTGCAATTTGCTGCGGGCGCGTATACTTGTATGATGGCTATCTGTACTTCCTTGGAGGTACAAATGGTGTGGTAGGGCAACAAAGATCTTCGATCCTGAAGATGTACACGTGTAATGGCTCTATCCATTTCTTGTGACAGAACCACGAAACTCCCCGCCTTTGTCGCTCACGCTGATCTTTATAGCTCCAGCCTCCAAAAGCGCTCTCAGTTCTCGTAT